TCAAATGAATCAGTATTACCAAAACCCTTTTCGGATTTATGAAATTAGTTTCAATTTCTGCACGAGTCTCCTCTTGTGTCTCTCACTCATTTCTGCTCAAGCTGTTGCAGGTGGTGGTCACTCCTGGGATGGGATCGTGGTGACTCAGGCGAACTATCAGGCGCTCCAAGCAATCAAACACGACCTCATTGACTTCACAGGAGTTCTCAGAAGCTGGAACAACTCTGCCTCCTCTGGTGTTTGCTCCGGCGGCTGGGCTGGAATCAGATGCCTCCGAGGCCAAGTTGTCGCCATTCAGCTCCCTTGGAAGGGACTTGGCGGCACTATCTCCGAGAAGATAGGACAGCTTCAGAATCTCAGAAAACTTAGCCTCCACAACAATGCCATAGCCGGTTCGATTCCTCGTTCTCTAGGCTACCTCCGTAGTCTCCGTGGAGTTCATCTCTTCAACAATCATCTGTCGGGTTCGGTCCCTGCCTCGCTTGGGAACTGCCCTCTACTCCAGAATCTTGATCTTAGCAATAACCAGCTATCTGGAGTCATCCCGGCTAGTCTTGCCGAATCCACCAGGCTCTACAGGCTCAATCTCAGCTTCAATTTGCTTTCTGGTCCCCTTCCGGTTAGTGTAGCCAGATCATATACCCTCACTTTTCTTGATCTTCGCCATAACAACTTCTCTGGTTCGATACCCGAATTTCCCGTTAATGGTTCTCACCCTCTCAAAAAGCTAAATCTTGACCACAATCTCTTCTCCGGAGCTGTTCCCTTGTCTCTCAGCAAGCAAAGTTTGCTGGAAGATGTTACTTTAAGCCATAATCAGCTCTCAGGTTCTATTCCCAGGGAGTTTGGAACACTTCCACACCTCCAAAGCCTTGATTTGTCTTACAATTCAATCAACGGAACCATCCCAGACAGTTTCTCCAACCTTTCATCTCTCGTTTCTCTAAACCTTGAAAGCAACCACCTCAAAGGCCGAATGCCGGATGCAATTGATAGACTGCACAACCTTACAGTGCTTAACCTCAAGAGAAACAGGTTCGACGGTCCTATCTCAGAGAGAATAGGGAACATATCTGGAATCAGAGAGCTTGATCTGTCTGAAAACAACTTCACAGGTCCAATTCCGTCTTCTCTAGTCCACCTGGCGAATCTATCTTCTTTCAACGTCTCCTTCAACACCCTCTCTGGTCCGGTTCCGCCTATTCTCTCCAGAAAGTTCAACTCAAGCTCTTTCGTGGGAAACATTCAGCTCTGTGGCTACAGCTCCTCGAATCCGTGTCCTTCTCCGAAACCTCATCATCCACTCACCCTTTCACCTGCCTCATCACAAGAACCAAGAAAACACCACAGAAAGCTCTCGGTAAAGGATATAATTCTAATCGCCATTGGAGCTCTTCTCGCCATTCTGCTTCTGCTATGTTTCATATTACTCTGCTGTCTGATCAAGAAACGGGCCGCCTTGAAAAAAAAAGACGGCAAGGACAAGATCTCTGAGAAGACAGTAGCTGCAGCTTCAGCAACAGCATCAGCTGGAGGTGAGATGGGAGGAAAGCTGGTTCATTTCGATGGTCCGTTTGTGTTCACCGCCGACGATCTGCTCTGTGCCACGGCTGAGATCATGGGGAAAAGTACTTACGGAACAGCATACAAAGCAACATTGGAGGACGGAAATGAAGTCGCTGTGAAGCGACTAAGAGAGAAAACAACCAAAGGAGTCAAAGAGTTCGAAGCAGAGGTCACAGTTTTAGGCAAGATTCGACACTTGAATCTTCTTGCACTAAGAGCTTACTACTTAGGACCTAAAGGAGAGAAGCTCCTTGTCTTTGATTACATGTCTAAGGGTAGTCTCTCTGCGTTTCTTCACGGTAAGCAAACAAAAAATCCAAACCCTAATTCAGATTTAATTGATTCGTGACATTAATTTTTCGTGTTCTGATTTCGAAATTGATAAATCAACAGCTCGAGGACCAGAAACCCTAATTCCATGGGAAACAAGAATGAAGATAGCGAAAGGAATCAGTCGTGGTTTAGCTCACCTTCACAACAACGAGAACATGATCCACGAGAATCTCACGGCGAGCAATATTCTCCTCGACGAGCAGACCAATGCTCACATCGCCGATTACGGTCTCTCCAGACTCATGACAGCCGCCGCCGCAACAAACGTGATCGCAACCGCCGGAACATTGGGATACAGAGCGCCGGAGTTTTCGAAAATCAAAAACGCAAGCACAAAGACGGACGTATACAGCTTAGGGATCATCATATTGGAGCTATTGACCGGGAAATCTCCCGGAGAACCGACGAACGGGATGGATTTGCCTCAGTGGGTAGCGTCGATCGTGAAGGAAGAGTGGACCAATGAAGTTTTCGATTTGGAGCTGATGAGAGAGACGCAAACCGTTGGAGATGAGCTTTTGAATACTCTGAAATTGGCGTTACATTGTGTTGATCCGTCACCAGCGGCGAGACCAGAAGCTAATCAGGTGGTGAATCAGCTTGAGGAGATTAGACCGGAGCTTGATGAGACGGAGATGGAGACGCCGGCGATTGGATCCGGCGGTGAGGCACAATCCAATGATTAAGGAGAAAAACAATTGATGTGAAAGAATAAAGGAGGAGGAGGCAAATTATACTTTATAAACACATTTATTATTTTCCTTACTATTCTTTGATTTAAGTAATTTGTAGATAAAATGGCTTAATGTTTGTGTTAGTAATGTTAATGTAATTCGAATATAAATTCTTTTTGGTTGAAGTAATACAATAATTTTTGAATTTACTTATATTTTGTGATGGTATGAATCAATTTACTTATATATTGTGATAGAAATACTATTAAATTACATATACAACTTTATTTATTTAGTCATGTCTCCTTCCACCGTTCTTCCTGCATTTTACCATTCAAAATATAAAATGACAAAACACAAAACATAAATATATTTTACGAAAGAAAAGTTTGCAATAAACATTTCACTCTTGTCTCTATAGTATCAAGCCTTCAAAAATTAATAATCCAAAACACTAACAATTCGATATTACTGGTAAACTGATGGATGAAGTTTGAAATGGGGTTGAAACAAGACATCCATCCACAACCTTGAGGCTCGATATGGTTGGGTTCTTCTTGTTCATCTTCTGTTTTTGGTGTAAAGCAGTTGAACAAGCATTGAACATCTCCCACAATTGTTCGAAGTCACCAGGGCTCGATCTTTGAGACAATACATTCTCGTAAATTTTCTCTTTTCATTTTTTCTGCAATATATCAAGAAAATCCATAATTAAATTCAATATATATATTTAAGTTTAGCCCCACCCCCCTTCCCTTTAATCGGCAATTACAAAAAATATCACTTTTTGTGTGTACATTTGCAATAATGCTATTTAGGGGTGTTTATTTACAAAAATGCTACTAATTATAGATTTATAAAGCTTATATCGTAAAATTATAAACCCTAAAAAATGTTTTGACACCTAAAACCCCCTAAACACTCAAAACTAAACCATAATAGAACATAATTAACCCAAACATAAATAATATAAAGAATTTTTTTTTTTTGAAAAAGTGGTATTTTTGTAAAAATTTCAAAAGTGTGACATTTTTGCTAAGTGTCACTTGAAAAATGGCATTTTTTAAAATTTCTCTTAAAAATAGTAAAAAATTGGAATAGAGAAAATCGATGTGTTTTTATTTCCTAAATTGTTACTGTCTTATAGATACTATGGTGATAATTGATACAGTAATTTAAGAAAATAGAATGAACAAACAACAAAGACTTTTGAATAGTTTGAATGATTTTACTTATTTCATTTGACTGTTTGTGTTAAGCTTTTCAAACCCATCTTCAATTTTTTCATTAATATAATATTGTTCGCTTTGGTACAAGTGGTAGAACTCGCAAAAATTTGTCTTTAGGCTCTTTTCCAGAAAGCTTCATATTAATAAGAGTTGGACATTATTTATATATTAGACAATATTTGTCTAATCTTCCAATGTGGGACTTGGTTTGATATCTCAACAATCCTTCTCTAAAACCAAGTACCGTACAAAGTTGTGACCATCTCCAACAAAATTTGGCATCCATCTTGTATCGTTGTACTATTCACCTAACCATTAGGATACTGTTAGAAATACTTTCGTCACAAGGTCTCAACATCCCTAATTGCGAGATTACCTTGAGGGTTCTCTTCCCACAACGAACTTGCGGCCCACACCACCACTTCTCCAGATCCATCTTTTCTGAACCTAAGGTCGGATACTATTGGACATGAGCTTTTCTTAACGTTATTTGTTTAGCTTAAGTTTTTTTCCTTCGTGGTATTTCTAGAGTTATATGGACATGATTCTAAAAAGACAGAGATAACTCAATGGGTAAAGCAACATGTTACTTGGACGCGCTGAATCATGTAGTTCAATTCCAATAATGGGTAGGATAAGAATTTGTGAAAGAGTGGTCGGACGACTAGAAATCATCAAGAATCCACCCACCAATGATAAGCATTAGCATCAGGTTTTTTGGGAATCTAATTGCTCTCATCTACTACACTCAAATGTCCAAAGATAGACAAGAACTTGGGGATATTCAGGAGGATGATTGGGTAATCATTGTTAATGAGCATAGTTTTTATGACTCACAACTTTTCTACGATGGAGTATTGACACATATGTTTAGGAGCTCAGTCGAATCGAGAGAAAAATAAATTCAAAAAGGAAAGAAGAAAATTCTCTGAATGATTTAGAGAGGCCTACGCGAAATCCTCCTTGAAATTTATGGCCCAAATAGAACAATCTTCTATTTCAAAATGATCAAAATTTGGAAAAATCTATTATATCACTCAGTTATGAGCTATTAATAAAATTCTTAAACATTGAGAGAAAGTATGTCAAACTTTTATTGAAATCGCTCATAATCTTGGAAAGTGATTTGTAAGAGTTTGTTTATGCGTCATCTCCATAATCACTCTAAAAAATATATATATATATAACATGGCTAAACAAAAAAATAACATGGCAAATTTCTATACGAATTTTCTGTTTTAAATTTAAATTAATTATAACAAAATCTTTTCTTAAGTAAATTTACATTTATTTCTTCAAATA